TATAATATCACCCAGTTCAATCAATTCGTCTAGAACAGATCGTAAGTTGAAGAAAATAAATCTATATTTAAGAAAAACAAAATCTAGAATGAATAAATGTCTTAATTAACTAGAATTTTACTTTTATTTTTATTTGATTAGGCTAAAATCTTAAAGATATTTTACAACATACTCAAATTATAAACGTATAAAATAAATTGTTACTACTCGTAACTTATTATGAGAAGCCACTTCACATTCATTAAAATTCAATAGTATAAAATAAATTATTAATTAAAATTATTTTTTAATATAAATATACACCTGTTAGAGCCTTACAAAAATAAAAATAAATAAATAAATTAATTTCGGGAAAAAAATTAATTAAATTTTAAAACGCTTAAAAATCTAACATACTTAATCTGATATTTTTATATAAAATAATAGATGTGGTTTTACATATTTGGATTCTGTACACTTATATATTGTTCTTTTTTTTACCAAGTTATTATGTATTTCCCAATAACCTTTGACACGTTTGCAGTGTGTTACGTAGTGGCCAATGTTTTTTACATCTGAATCTCCAATGTATGAAATTATTGACTGTAGTGAAAACCTAAATAATAAATTATTTATAGTATTAGTATATAATAAATTACCTCCTAAAATATATATATGAATAGTTATTATTAACATCTAAATATTTACCTTTCTTTTCCAATAAACAACTTTGATGTTATATCATTGACTAAGATTTTATTTTCATTTATCGTATTATATTTAAATACGTCTGTTTCCAATAAAATATGTTCCTGCAATACTCTTATGGAATTTCTACTTATTTTTTTGCAGTTTGGACACCATTTTTCTTTTTTTTCCGTAATATAATTATTTAAATATTTATTTATATCTTCTAAGTGTCCACTACTATTGAACAATTCGTTGAGTATTATTGTTGCATCATGAAATACGGTTTTTGTATTACAAATGGTACATTCCAATGTTTGTATACTGCTAGGTATATCAGAAAGAAGCTTGTTATTTAAAGATATAATATTGATATTTGCGTCCAACATTGAGGTTCCGGATTCTACTGGTGACTTTTTAAAAAATCCACTTTCTAGCAGCAAATTACCTCGTTGTTGATAAGTAATGCTTGTTGATCCATGAAGAGCTACATCTTTGCATAATCTTATAAAAGGATTCATTTTATTATTATCAATATATAACTTATAACTTTTGCTATCAATGTAACTTACTGTTATTGCTACTAAAAGCGAATCAAAAGCACACGTGTTAAATATCAGAATTTTTTCTTTATTTACTTTAACAGCGGGTAAAAGATTTCCGTTTAATATCACTGATAATGAAGTTGATCGTAATCCTGAAGTGTTTAGTCACGACGAATATCTGAACATGGACTTGTATATTTTGATAATCGTTTGGAATTTATTATTTTTTTTTTAATTTTGATAGGTTGGTCTGTTTTATTTCTCCAATTTTCTTGTGTTCATCTGTTATCATTATATTTAAATCAGATTTATCTGAATTGATAGAAATATCATTATCACTATAAAATTCCGATTCAACATCATTACTTATATCGCTATTCATATAAATTTCCTTATTTGTTTCATTACCATATATCATATCAGTACTACTGTTGTTTGATCTAAAATTATTTTTTGATTTATAATCTTGAATTTTGTTAACTTGTAATAATCTGGCCATTTTTAATTCTCCTTCTATCGATAATAAATGTGAACCAACAAAACGGTCTATGGTGCTAAGTGATTGTCTCAATTCATTTTTGGAATGAGAAAAATATCCTTCGACTGGTGCTCAAGTGGTCGTTTCATACTTTGATTTATAGTATCTAGCCATTATGTTTGTCCAGAGAGGAAAATCTTTGGTAATCCGAAGAAGAGAAGCACATAAGCCAGGTAAAAAGTACCCATTCAAACGATCACCACGTGTATCGGAGAGAACTGCTACACGTTCTTTAATAATTTTAATAAATGTATCCATATTATTTGAAATATTATTAAGACATTGAACATTATTTTGAATATTTTCATTTTCTTCAACTATTTCTTGGTCATCTGAAATTATATTTTCTTTGAAATCAACATTTTTGATTTGTTTTAAAATATTTTCTCTGAATTTTTCTGACGAAGTGTAATATTTTGTACCTTCTATATTACCATCAAATTCTGAAGATGCAATTACTAAAATTTCAGTTAACATTGTTTTAAATTTATTAAGTGTTTTTGATTTTATAAGGAGAATTATGGCTCTGACGTAAAATTCTTTAATTTGTCCGTGACTTCTTACCTTAAAACACTTCCATCTACAAATCATTTTAATTAAATGGGCAATATCCAAACGCACATAAACATATAGTTTAGAATTTGAAATAATTACACCATCTTCTTCATCTTGAAGAATCTTCAAACTCATTTCACAATATTGTATCTTAGATAAACCATAACAGAAAGAACGTGTAACAGCTCCTATAAGTGCATTTGAATAATCAACCACAACTTCATATGGTGAAGTAGCACCAGCTCTTATCCATTGATTTAACCAATAAGTTATAGTTGCTAAATCTTGTACTTCTGAGAGCATTTGACACACTGGTACTTGAATAAATCCATCATTTAAAACTGCGACATATAAAAAAATATGTGATGATTGTAATTCCTGTGATGTTCTATTTATATTTCTTACGACACTCCTTGTTGCATCAATACAAAGTCTACAATTACGCAATGAATTTGTTTTTGATTTCTTGTAAACAACCATCTGATACGGAGACCAATAATGGACGATTACTCGATCAATACTTATGTTATGAATTGATCCAGCATAAGGAACTGTATGTTTCATTTCCACTAAGGACAAAATTGGATTTTTTTTTACGATTTCTAATTTTTTATCTCGAAATTCTTGTTTAGCCTTTCTTAACACATTTGTCTGATAAATGTTTGTTGGTATTATATCTCCAAAGTCACATTTTCTCCTTATTTGATCATTTCTCCAAGTATTTGCACGCAGGTGTAGAAGATCTTCTCCAATACTATATCTTTTTTTTCCATTTAAGTTCCTTTTTAAATTATTATTATGTACTATTCCTCTAGTATCTTTGGTTTTTAAAATAAGTTTTAAAGGTTGATCTTCGAGAGGGTGTTTAACAGCTACACCTTTAAGTTTGGCATAACATTTATCAGTTTTACAAGTTGCGTTAAAACTAAAAAACATTTAGCAGATTTACTGTTATAAACTTTACACCTTTTAAATATGTAACAACATGGCAACTTGTGTATTTTTACAAATTCATCAAATATTATATTTGACCAAACGCCTGGTTTCAATACTGAATATTTTCTTTTATTTTTTCCATTGCCATACTCAACATCAATCGGTTTCATTTTTTGAAACGCTTCATACGGAATATCAATATGAAAAGTTTTAAGACTTTCATCACCATCAAAATCCAAATCCATTTCTTCATCTTCAGACTCTTCGGTAAAACTAGAATTTGACATATTACTTTGAATATCTGCAGGTTAGATTATTCGAACATATAAATAATAGAACTAATAACTTCACAAATATAATTTATTATGTTTAACTTACCTTTTTTAGTGCCATTCTTAATATATTATTATTAATTAACTTAATTAACCAATTGAAAAAACTGTGGTATAATTACAATTTCACTGCACTGCATTTATTGAAGTACAAAACACAAATTATGGATATGGTAAAATAATATTTGGCAATAATAAAAATTAAAAACAA